GTGGTATTGGTGCTGGTGACTTTGTATTGGTGCGGATCTGCGCGTTGGTGATGCTATTGTTAGATCTGAGTGAGATGGTAGTACGATGTTGGGCTGTAGGAGCTGGTGGTGCGAATCTACGTGATGGTGGTGCGAATATGTGAATTTGTGATGTGGTGTATAGCCGTATAGGTTGTGGTTGTGATTTGATGTGGATGTGGTGGTGGCGGTTATGGTGGCGAGTTGGTGGGTTGGAGGAGGTGGTGGCGGGCTGTGTTGGACAATTCCATTTGTACATAAATGGATGACAATGGAGGTTGACAACCTCTCACATGAGCGCGAGTCCCGCATGATTAAAAAATTTCAAAAAAAGTGGGGCCTCCCTATTGTGAGTGTTGGTCATCCTCCATTGTCATCCTCCGTTGTATATGTAGCATTTCTCGGCTATGTTGTAGGTGGTGGCGATGGTGGTACAAGTAGTGGCCGTTGTGGTACATTACAGGTGATGATGGTATGTTAAAGTTGATCAGTGTATGTGACAGTGGTGGTGTGTTGGTGGTGAGATGACACATGGCAACAACATTCTGGTGTTTTTTGGTGGTGTCGATGATGGTAGGAATGGTGGTAATGTGGAGTGGATGGAATGAAGACCGTGACAAATTACTGAGTAATTGTGACCAGTTATTGAGTAATTATGACCAATAAAATCAGTAATTTGTAATTAACAAATAATATGAGACCTAAAAATATGAGTTTTGTGATCTATAATTTGTGACTTTGTGATCAATAGATAAATTGTAATCAATTAATTTTAATTTGTGATTGATTAATAATTTGTGACATATAAAATGTGTAATTTGTGACCTACCATTTTTTTTTTTTTTTGGGATCATTTGACTATGTGACATGTTTAATTAAATTATAGGTTTACAAAGTTTTAAGATGTCACAAAATGAGAACACTAATTCCTCTTTTTTTTTTTAAAAAAAAAATCATAATTGTAAAAAGGGGGAGTGTGTGAGGTGAGAGAGACAGAGAGAGATGGGAGAAATAATTATTAAATAATATATATTAGAGAGAGAAAGTGTGAGGTAAGTGAGAGAAAAGGAAAAAAGTTGAACAATGCTAGACTTGCAGAAAAAAATTTGCCAGAACATTGCCAGATACACACATACATGGGGCCCACAATTTTTTTTTTGCAATATTTTACTCACATGGGGACCCACCCCATGTGAGTATCTGGTAGCTTTCTGGTAAAAAGGGTTCTGTACATATGCATGTTTTCAAAAAAGTTTGAGGTGTAAGAGATATTTAGGGTCCGTTTGATTGTAATGGTGGAAAATGGGTGGAAAGAAAATGAATTATAGGGAAAGTAATTGTCTATAAATTGTTTTGTAGTAAATTGTTAATTAAATGTGTTTGATTTGTATAATTTTCAACCCGAAATATTTTTAAATTTTGTGTTCGTTTGATTTTGTTTTACATGAAAATTGTCCATTAAAGTGATAATTTTTTTCACAATTGGTTATAAAATTTGTTTCTATTGCCAAAAAGTAAAAACAAAAAACAAAAAAAACAAAAAATTTCATAGAAAATCATTTTTTTTAATCAAAGTTCAGTATTCGTTTAACTTTGTTTTACATGGAAATTGTCAATNAGACTTAAAGAAAAAAATTTGCCAGAACACTGTCATAAACGCACATACATGGTGCCCGCTTTTTTTTTTTTGCAATATTTTACTCACATGGGGACCCACCCCATGTGAGTATCTGGTAGCTTTCTGGTAAAAAGGGTTCTGTACATATGCATGTTTTCAAAAAAGTTTGAGGTGTAAGAGATATTTAGGGTCCGTTTGATTGTAATGGTGGAAAATGGGTGGAAAGAAAATGAATTATAGGGAAAGTAATTGTCTATAAATTGTTTTGTAGTAAATTGTTAATTAAATGTGTTTGATTTGTATAATTTTCAACCCGAAATATTTTTAAATTTTGTGTTCGTTTGATTTTGTTTTACATGAAAATTGTCCATTAAAGTGATAATTTTTTTCACAATTGGTTATAAAATTTGTTTCTATTGCCAAAAAGTAAAAACAAAAAACAAAAAAAACAAAAAATTTCATAGAAAATCATTTTTTTTAATCAAAGTTCAGTATTCGTTTAACTTTGTTTTACATGGAAATTGTCAATTAATGTGAAATTTTTTTTTGACAATTGGTTATCAAATTTGTTTCCTTGCCAAAAAAAAAAAANAAAATTTGTTTCCCTTGCAAAAAAAAAAAAAAAAAGTAAAGCTAGAATTCCATTTCCCGCCAAAATGGTGGAAAATCCAATTCACCTATTTTGAAGAAAATGTGCACGTGGGAAGGAATCTTGGAAAACCAATTCCATAGTAAATTTTTTCTATCAAACAAGGTTAAAGATGGAAAATGGATCCACGGAATTTAAGGAGTATCAAACAGGGCTTATTGTACGGGAGAAAATAAGAGGATGAGAGAATCCGTTATATATTATATTAATGAGATACATATGTTATATGATAATGTTTATCAAATTATCGTAATTTAAATTATAAATTTTCTTCATATTAGTTAATAATAATATATATTATATTATTATTTAGAACCTGATTTATGAAACTTTTTTACGAGTTTGTTAAGCTCCCGTTTGATCTACATTATTATCTCATTAAAATGAAAAATATGATCGTTATTCATCACATCAACATTTAAATTCAAATTTTCTATCTCGTGTGGACCCCAATAATGGCTATATTTTTTATTCTCATTCTATAATAATTTAACTCAAAGAGATGTGAAATTGTGTACTTAATCGTAACACCTCCTTCAATGGATGGCCGTGAAACCAAAGTGCGACAAATTATAATCAGTTAGGCAATTTTTACTCGTTGACAGGAGTATAAGCAATTCGGTTCACTTGAAATTTTATTATTTCAGACTATCCTAATCTCTTTTCCACATCTTAGATGATAAAGTCCCGTAAATTTAAGAAGTTCGATATATTTTTAAAGGGTAAGAGTGAAAAAAAGGAAGTCATGTTAGATATTTGTCTATTATTATTACTTAGTCCTTGTTTGCCACCCATTTTGGGAAAAAAAATAAATTTTAGAATAGTGATTGATGGAAGAATGCATGGTTAAAAAGTAATGAGAATTTTTGGGTTTATGTGTAACATTATTTTATTGATAGAATGTGCAGTTGAAATGAAGAAAGAGAAAAAAATGAAAAAGAGAATAAAAAGAAAATTGGTGTCAAACAATGGGCATTTTCAGTACAAAGAATTGGAACAATATTAAAGAATAGAAAGAAGTTAAAATCTTGTTTCGTATCCTCCATTACTAAATGTCATGCAATGTTATTTCCAAAGTATCCTACATTGAGAGTTGCAAAAGACAGATCTTTTGCTTATCATTCAATTTAAGTAGAACATTTAAAGCTTTCTCCAATTACTTAAAGCAGATATCAGATAAAAGAAAAATAAAAAAGACAAACAAACTAACTAACTAAACTCAAATTTCTGCAGTATAAATGATTTTGCTCAGGCCAATACAGCTAGTGACTGAGAAGCCATGGAAAATAATAGTGGAAAAGACTGGAATTAGGGGTGTAAGCAGTTCAATTTTATCGATTTTTGACAAATTTTCAAATCAACCATTTAAACCGGTTTGAGATTTGAGAAAAACTCAAACCTAAACCAAATCGTTTTGAACGGTTTGAAAAAAAACTCAAACCTAAACCTAACGATTTGGTCTGGTTTTAAACCGCCGATTTTTTAGTATATTTTTTTACCTTTCTACTTTTATGTCATTATTTAATTCATTAAATTCAATATATATTTATATCTTACTAGCAATAAATCTAAAACAACTAAATATATCTATAAATTTAAATACTAACTAAATCCAAGTGAAATCATAATAATAATTTTTTGTTCACCCTTTTTACGATAACGTTATAATACAAGTCTAATAAACTAAATATAGGGCCCAAAATACCTATAAACTAAATATTTATTTGAAAACATATAGTTCCATAATATAGTTACTGAGACATCAATAAGGCAACACCTTAAATGATAAACTTTACATGTATTGGATCAAAATCCAAGACTTTAAATAAAAAAGATATCATCCTTATTAATTCAAAGCATTTAAAGAAACAGTTTAGTAAAATATNAGCTTCTATTGACATATTTTACATGCTTAATTCAGTCACAAAACAAGAGTATGTCCACACAAATATAATATAATCATGTACATAGTAGATAAACAATTTCCATCAAAGTAAATAAATTTATTTCACAATCATCCAATAGTTGAGAGAAATACGAAACCCATATAATTTCAGATTTCTTACCTCAGTTTGCTCAAAAAATTATTGATCTGAAATTTTATTCGTAGCAAATATTATCACCAAAAACCCATGATCTCTTTGTCTCCGATTTGGTGTGGTGTTTGTGGCTTAAAGCTGTGTTGGGTGTTGACTGAAGTTTATTTGAATTCTGAAGAGGAAAAAAGCTTTTGATATATTAGATTACTCTTGAGATTATTAGATATAAGTTAGGATTATTGGGTAATAATAATAATATATATGTAATAGAAAATTAGAAATTGACAAAAATAACCACACATGACAAAACTATTGAATTTTACATATTTGGATTTTTCAGAAATTTTCATTTTTTCTATTTTTTTATTTTTATATATTTTTTCGCCGGTTCGATTTGGTTTTAAATCGCAATTAAAATTTTCAAACTTAAACCAAACCGTTTTTGACCGATTTGGTTTGGTTCAAAACCATTTCGTTGAAGGGTCCACGTGGCACCAAACCGACGGTTACTAAAATGCGGTTTCGATTCGATTTTTCGGTTTGACAATTTTTGCTTACAGCCCTAACTGGAATATAATTAAAAAGGCGTCTCAATCACCTTAGGAAGTATATCCTTATTTCATTCTCTTGTTCCAGCCCCACACTTGATTTCTACAAAGGAAAAACTGAGAAAAGATTACAAGTCAAGTGCCCCAGAAGCTCCCCACATATTTTGATCATCAGACTGTGGATCCCCCAAAATGGTTTCAATGTTTGATCTCAAGGGTTGATCCTTTGGGAAGTTCCAGAATGAATCAGAATTTTCGAAGAATACATAAAATATAAGGAGTGATGCCAAAAACAGTCCCAGTAGTAGTCCATATAATTGCCACTCTGCAAACAAGAACGAGGAAAGAAAAACGAAAATCAGACCGAGTTTCAGAAACTTATGGGGTGGGGTGGTGGCAGGGGTTAGAGAGAGACCTTTCCAATCAGCGGGAACACTTAGTTTAGTCACCAATGCTCCCCATTCAGTAGAACTGGTAAGAATTACCCTGCAAAAACCAAAGGGAGCATGTTTAGCAACGCAGGCTTTACTTTCAAACAAGTAGAATACTTGCGCATCATTTGACCATTATATAAATTTCTAAATCAATATATACAATGCCATTAAATTCTTTACAAACATATCAAATTATGCTATTTTCATTCCACTCTTTCCTCTTCTGGCGTCTTCAATTCGGATCACATTGCTTTTGCATGTAGCTTCATTCGGTATACACTAGACATTCCTTCAATGAATTTATGCCTACCTGAATGAGTCTTCCTTTCGAAGATTTCATAGTTATTTGGAGAACAAATTCAAATTATACAAGGATGTAAATTTCATTACAAATTTTTTTGTTATCAAACAAAATTATTATTTGCTCAGATTTGCCAGTGATTCTCCGTTTGAATTCAACATTATCAGCGATATGACCATATTATTCGTACGGGATCAATCTAATATAAAAATCAAATAGATTTAATTCACACCAATGATGTAAGTTCCAGTAGAAGTTAACTAGAGACAGCATCAACATAATCACTACAAGTTTTTCTTCTGGTGAGTAAGCACTAAGCAGCGTTCGCGAGTTAAACACGTTAGTTTGCCCACATATCATGCTCAATGCTGTATGGTATTCTACATTCAAAAATTTCACAATTTTTGTCTCCCAGTTAAAAAATGCACATCACCCCCTCTAGTTCAGATACCCTGCAACAGGTATGGAACAAGCCAATAATTCCCTACTTTCACATGAACAGAACTTCAAGTGTGAATCGTGATGTAAACTTAAGCCCGACACCTCTCTTGACATCTTTTGAGGTATTGCTGGAGATACCAAATTATGAGGCCAAGATAATAAGATGTTTCCAAGGAAATCAGTGATTCGCAGATAATATATGAATGTAGCTTCAAGCCACCAACATATAGAAAAGACACAGAAATATTCCATTTAGAATCGTACCTTTCACTAGGGCAAAACTCCAAAGATGCAATATTAGAACCCAAGTGAAGCCTCCTGCTCCAGTGGCGAACCTCCATTCTTTTCACTTCTACTACACATATATCCCCATCCTTGCTCCCCCTGTGCATTAAAAGAGAGTCAAAAACCATTTGCAAGTCACCCACTAAAAGCAAACTATTGAACGCTGGAAGCAAAACTAGGAAAAAACAAATTAATAGGAGTCCAAAATTCATCAGATCATTTTATTTAACGGATGGTCATACTCAGTCCATAGAGCTGCTGACATAGATATTTCTTGACACTTTTGGATTGCCATTAGAGGTGCACTGTGCATGAAATTATACTTTGATACAAGATTAAAATTGTATGCTTGTGGTATTGGCCTTAACGCTGTATTTTGTTCCTAAAATTATAGTAACAGTTTATGGATATTTTAATTGTTAAAAACGATAGAGATGCAAAGTCATTGATCATCTATCGTTCCTACTGGAGGTGCAAAGACATTGGTCACACAGGCCAGGGGCGGTCCAACATGTCTTTGGCCACACCCAAGCACGAGCCGGGCTCAGGCGTCCATGTTGGTAGGCACGTGCAGGCCTTGTTAAGAAGGTGAAAAAAGAAATGTATTTGAAATCTATAAGCAGAAAAACCCAATTAGAATAAGTGGTGTTGAGTTTTTATAAAATGAAATCCTAAGCAAATTACTTTCAAGTTTAAACATTGAAGTTGAAACAAAAAAATTGTCAAATGAAATATACAATAATTATCTTCTTGAATACAGTAATACAGATGTTCCTCTTCTACAATAATTTCAAAAAATAAAACTTCATTAAGGTGAAAACTTTCGAATGTTATGGATTTCACAATAATATCCCCAGCTTCAAACATGAAAACTTTTATTTCCCTTCTTACCAAAAGAAATTCCTCAAGTAGAAGGAGATCATTTAATGCCAAATTGCAATTTTGACATCAATATCTCTCTGAGGACTATATATTAATATATTATGCTTATTATTGACGAAAATTTACTAGCTACCTTTCCAAATATTTAAAGGTCATCGCATTATAATCTGTTGAAGATAATATTTATACTCAATCCAACAGCTTAAATTTTTAGATCAAGTAGTTTGACAAGATATCAGAGCTAAATTCATGTCTCGCCACCACCATTTTAAATAATTTGTGCAGGTGTTAAGTTTTGATGGAAATAAATAATAAATTTGACCTACACATGAGAGGAAATGTTCAAGATAATACTTAAATGTTATACATTTGGCCTGATGTAACAACTTAAATTTTTAGATTGAGGGGTACGACAATTGTTGGAGAGCAACAATGCCACTCTTAAACCCATGGGTTAGGTCACTTAAATGATGATGATTATGATTGAATGCCATAAAAGGTATAGTCTATCCTCGCCCAATTGATTTTCAGATAAAAAGGTTGAAATGTGATTCTAATAAATGGAATCAGAGCTAGAGTTATAAGTTCAAGTGAAAGGAGTGCCACATTGAGGAAGGGATTGTTATAGGGCAATAATTCCATTGTTAAGACTATGGGTTGGGTCACTCAAATGATGGTGATCGAATTCCAAAAAATGTTTAGCCTGTCCTCACTAGACACCAATGAATTTTTAGATGAGAATGTTGAATCCCAATCCTCACAAGAAGGCTTCAAGCCACACACTTGGTACCTTAAACAAAACAACATCAACTAAGAAAGAGGATTATTAATGGAATACTCTTGATGAAATCTAATTTTCTTCCCTGCAAAGCTAAGTGTGTTTCCTTTCATAAACAACTAGACGTGTACCACAATAGTACCCATCAAGTAGTATAGTTGACACTAAGCAGTTCATTAATCTTTAAGTGCACACAATAGTCCAAGCTAGTTAGAAATACCCATGATGCATGGGCGTGTGTCCGACAAGCAATTTTTCAAAGACGGTAGGACGAACACGTTGGGGAACTCGTCGTTATAATAACATATTTTTAATTAGTTCTAATTTTTACATCTTTTATAGTGAAACATTTCTTGGCTTTTTTATATTTCAATCTTTAGAATTGCATTGGTCTTCTAGCGATTTGAGTTAAATTGCTGATGAAGTAAAGGGACATGTAGAGATGTATTAGGTGTTTCATGAATTTTCAAATTTAAATTATGTTAGTAAGGGCTAAATCAAAATTTTAATTTTGAACTTTTGAGAAAGAAAGCTGTCATTTTGTAGAAATGTTTAGAACTCAATTTTGGGCCCAAAATTGACCCACGTTTCTTTTAACCAAAATGACCTTTTAAAAGGTAAACTCATTTTTAGTTGCTTAACAAAAAAATCATAGTAGGTTTTCGATTTCACCTTGCATCGTCAAACAGTGAGACACTGAGATAGCGTTTCACCGTCGGTCACTCCACCAGCGGCACGGCCTCTTCCAACATTTCTCCTTCCCTCATCCACCCACCGATGTGCGACCCCATTGAGGAAGACGCCCCCGTGTTACTTTGACATTTAACCTCTTTTAGTTTTTAATTGTGTTTGCCATGTGGCACATGGCCACAGCATGTCGGCGAAGTGTCCAACTCTATAAAACCATCTAACAAGGACACACCACCTGGCGCATCCAATGCGTGCCCGATACACATAGGACACAGACTCAATGGCACTTGAAGCATGTCAGTGTGTCACAGAACAATACGTATAAGATATATACTAATTGTAAGTAAGCCTACAGTCAAAAGTCTAGAATCAGTTCTCAATCTTTGGAGAATGCGGTGTTGTATTATTATAAGTTCTCTCTTCCAAACATATCCTGAAAGTAGACAACAAGTTTTAAATGGTGTTCAAGTTCTCTCTATCTCATGCAAATTTAGTTATTTTTATTTTCAGATTAATGTACTTTCACAAAGAAACTTCAGGAACTATTTGCTTTCAGAACAAAATAATTCTTACAAAAAAGAAATTTCAGGACGCTATGCACTTACTGAGCAAGATACTTTCCATCGCGACTCATCGACATGATTGAAGCTGGCTTTTTAAGCAGCCTCTTGTGCCCAATTTTTTTCCATGAGCTTATCTCCCAAACACCAGTAACCGATTTATTTCCTGAATGATAAACATAATCATATTTCAAGTTCAACAGTACAAGCTTTCAATTAAATATAATTACAAAGTTGACTACATCTTACAAAAGTATTGTGCATTTAAAATACCTTCTTGAACAGTGCAAAATAAGAATGGCTTCGTCCCATCTTTGGAGAATCGACAAAGTTCAATTTTCTCATCCTGCAACAGAAAGTTGTGAGATCGACACCCTAAAATGAGGGGGAAATGACACGCTGAACTCTACAAAAGAATATACATACTGATTTTCGAGTCAAAGTAGTTATTGGAGCACCATCGTTTGTATTCCATATTCTTGCTGCACCATCAGTTGATGTTGTGGCTAAAAACTCTGAATCCAAGCTGAATGGAAAGAAAAATCAGGAGCATAACCTTGAAAAGTCCATGTCCAAAGTTCTTGAATGGATCAAGATCATCCAACAATTTCAAGTGTGATGAAAGGAAGTTAAAAACAGGAAAAATGTTTAGTTTCTTTTCATCTGCGTTCAGTATCTTATGTGCGAACGTTCCAATCTTGCGCGAAAATTCAACAAAATAATAAAAGGCTGAGCTCTTTCTTTCTTGGATTCCTGAGTGCAATTTTTGACAAAAAGTGCAGGTAATTTTTTCCCTCGGGCACTTGACAAAATGAGTGAATGTGTTCATATAGAAAATAACTTCATGAACTTGCTTAAAAACCTTATGGCTTTTGATAAAATAGCTTAGATCATTCTACCTGAAGTCCATGTCTTGGAATGACTTGTGAGCTCTTGGTTCATCTAATATGACCTTCATGCTTGGCCACTCAAATATTCTGAGACACCCATTCTTCAAGTTGAAAGAACATAATCAGAATACATGTCTTTTTCCAAATTATCATATGTTCACTAACTCATGGAACGGAAAATATTCAATAACTTACAACTCCACCAGTAGCAAATCTAGTTCCATCGACACTAAAGGCTAAGCATTTTTGCGGACCAACACCTTGTAGAGGAGCTAGATCCTTTGTTGTTAATTTTATATAGTCTTCCCGGCCATAAACCTCAAATAATCTACATAAATTGAAACATGACATTGTAAGTCTACAATGCCAGGAAAATGAAATGTCACAAAGTTGGGAAACACTGTCAGTTAGCTATATTCTTGGCCTCCCAAGCATTGAAAAGTTACCCTTAACTATTTACTGGAAGAAAATAATGAATGATCTGAGAAGTTTTAAGCTAACAAAGAGTAAAACATCTTTAACAGTACTTGGACCGTCAAACCCGCACCCCACCCAGATTTTCAAAGGTGGCAGAATTCATTAAAGGGATAATATATGGAAAAAAAATTACCAGTAACCTAGTAGAAAGGGGAACGTGAGACTTGCAATTTTATGTATGTATGTACATACGTACGTACGTACTTATGCATGTATGTATTTATTTATGTATGACATTTCATCTCCCTATACATTTTACCCTGGAGAGGGTAAAAAAGGAAAACAATAAGCATAAGAATTCGTTTGGGGCTATAATTCTATATCAAGAATAATCATTTCATTTTTAAAACTTTTGGATATCAAGTTCCATTTCCAAACATGTTAAAACATCTCACGTTATTCCTATATCTGAAAATAACAATAGCATGCTTTCATAATTCCCGACATCTGCTAAGGGATTTAAACATAATTTTCAAAGCGGTGAGAAACTAATCCAGATGATGAGGCCATAGAAGTCAGTAATAGGCTCAATCAAGAGCCTATAAAAACCAGGGATGCCACATTAACCCTCCGCCACAAAACCACCTACCCACTCACGCCCCCCGAAAAAATCATAAGGTAAAGGTTTAACAATAAACGTGATTGTCAAACGACATACCTACTCTCATCACCAAATGAACAGAGAAATAACCTAGAAAGAGTAACTAGAATAGGAATAAAAATGAAAATAATGGATTGAGAAGAGAGAGCGTCTTTTTTTCCCACTTAAATAAGTATTTGAGTTCAGTTCAAGCTTCTAAACAAGTGGAAATTTTCCGAAATTGCCGTAGTTAAGGAATCACATTTTTAAACTAAAAAATGACCATCCTATATATTCATATATTATTCTACACAAATATCAAATTCTGAAGTCCATCGGAGCAAACAAACTTCAATTTTTCGAAACATAATAAAACATCAACAGTCAAGAGCTGCAAAAAGGCAAATCTCATTTGCATAACAAGGGATAAAACAGTAAAACTTCTTCAGAGGCCCTGGCCATATTGAACTCTTTCTTCTGGCATTAATTACAATTTAGCCTACTCGATCGGTCCAATTAGCATTTCAACACATGCAGTACTTATAAACCATTACTTTCTTAAGCTCTCAGAAGTCAAAACTACTTGCAAAGACAGTCATTTTTTTTTGTCGTGAACTAGTTGCATAAAAAGTCGAGTAAAACAAAATACTTACTTGCAGCCACCAGTGCTAGTGGAACAAACCACATCGTCTCCACTTGGATGCACCGCAATGGTCACTGGATTAACCCCTTCTTCAAATTCAAACTTGACCTACATATATACATCAAAGCAACAAATTCTTATTATACTAACCTAGATTACTTTCTACGGAGTAAATCTTCTAACGGTCATTTCCAACATCAAATACTAAAAATTAGCACTAACATAAATAAATTGATCGAATAGATAATAAACCTTGGGAGAGGGGGAGATAGAAGTGGTCTTGGGGTCGAAGGAGAAGATCTCGAGTGAAGACGGACTCGATTTTCCCAGAACCACCAAGTGCTCGTTTTCCGGCCGTCTGATCCACGTTGCACACGTCACCGTCCCTTTTCCCGACGAATCTCCACCGTCCATTCTCTCACAAATTCCGCAATATCAATGAAAAAAGTTGTTCGTTTATGGGGATTGAATTGTGAAACCGTGCTCAATAGATAGAAACGGAAAAGGGAATTTTATACAACTTGAGGTGGTGGGTCCCATAAAATGGGAGTTAGCAATCCCCGACATCGAATTTTGCAATGCCAGTAGAAACTCTAATTTCGACAAATTTGATAGAGAAAATTGAACGGTTGGTCCACAATTTATTGCACTATTGATAAGATGGTCATAACCTTTAAAAAAGAATAAATTAGTCTCAATTTTTCATTCACGATCAGCCCCCAAGGAAATGAACTTATAAGTAAAATTATGCAAGTTTGTATAAGTTGTCTTGTGAGATATTATACACATTTATTTTCGGCATTCTACTTATAAGCAAAATTAACATTACAAATTACCAAAATGTATTTAGAGCTTGTTTGAATCTATTTTTGTTGAAAAATGCATTTTAGAGTAGCAAATTGATGGAGAATGTGTGATTAAAAAATAAGAAAAATATTTGAGTTTCCGTGTAATATTATTTTATTAAAAAATATGTGGTCAAAAGGAAGAGACAGAAAAATAATGGAGATTTAATGATTTTCGAGTATAAAAGGTGGAGTATATTGTAATTTCAAAAAATGGTAGGAGTCATATTATTTTAATTAATATGATACTAAAATAACAAGTCGGATAAGTATGAGCTACGATGCTTTTATTTTCACAATTTGGTAACATATATATTAAATTTATTTATTTAATTTCTTAATTCCGTTTCGTTTAAGCTACCCACTAAGTTTTTGTGTGATATTGATTTTTTAAGATTAAAATTGCTTGAAGAATGTGTGATCTAAAAGTCGAAAAAATTATGAGAAAATGTGAAAAATGAAGTTAATTTGAATAAATATAAGCATATGTCTGGGCTCCAGTAAAATGAGATTTTAGAGAGGAATGTGATTTTGAAATAGTAATCTTTTTGAAAGTGTGTCGTTAAAAAATTAAAAAATATTTTAAATTTACGTGTAATATTATTCTACGAGAAAATATGTAGTTTACAATTAATTTTAAAAAAAATAATTTATTTTTATAAAAATAGAGCCTAGCTATAGAAGAAAGAATTTCTAAAATGTACAACAATAGTGCAAACACATTGTAAGCAATATGAAAACAATAATGCTAAGCTCCTAATTGGTAGAGATTAAAATTGAATTTTTAATAGATTTTGATAAAAGTTGATGAAATATATGATTAAAAAGTTATGAATCTCATGAAATGTGTGTTTTAAATTAATTATTGATTTTGATTTGAAATTGTAATTGTAATTGGATTTTAACTCAAATCAAACAGGGGCTAAATGTACATTCTTTGGTTGGCATTGTTTTTTACATTGTCTTTGTTTTTGAAAATTATGGATGGAAAAATTGTTTGTTTTAAAATTGTCCAATAATATTTTGACATTTGACATAACATAAAAAAATATATAAAAAATATTGTACATATAGCATGAAAGATACCGAAAAGAGAAGTGCTACATGTACATAAATCTATACATAATGATGTCCATAATTACACGTGGCACTGGATCNAATTCCGTTACATAATTCGTTAAAATAAGAAATTCCGTTACATAATCCGTTAAACCAACAAATTCCGTTAAATAGACACTTTTTATATATAGAAAGACATATATTATGTACATGTAGACTTTTCCTTACCGAGAATTGCTAAGGTATGGACAATCCCGCCCACACAATGACAGGGACGGGAAGTTCATGTTGTACGGAGAAAACGAATATGGAACCAACCGTGTAAGCTGTATGGTCAACAGTTTCTTGTTGGTTTTAACAAAAATGAAGAATATGCTCTTACGATTCCTCAAGGAAGCAACGAAGAAGAAACTATGAAAATTCACTTATATTTTAATATGGAATAAAATATTTTTGAAATGATTAAAGTAGTGATAGAAGATAAAAGTATCGTTTTCTTTTAATATTTTTAGAAAGGTCTTTCAATTCAGGTTAATAGTAAGATAAAAAATTTTAAACATTTTCGATGAAAGGTAATGAAATGTCTCGATCAAATTTTTACATCATATTCTCGGTTGGTGAGTAGCAACATGCAATTGACGGTGTAGCAACATGCAATTGACGGTGGTTAACACCTCTCCAATTTCTTATCTATTGTCCGGAAATTTCTCAATATATTTGAAAGAATTTGTTGTCTGGTTGTGTTTGAATTAGTCAAAGGAGTCTGGTGGAAATATGAGAAGATACCCTTCTTCTCCATCACTTGATAAAAGTAGCGATTCATGAAAAGTATCGGTCATCGCACTTTTGATTCCGAGAGCAAAAACTACAATTTTGATTTGAAGGACCTGAGATATGATTTTACTTGGAGACCATCTCCTTAAACTTAAAGGTGAAAATTCTATTTTTATTTATGAAAAATCGGGGAAAAAAAAGAGGAAAATAGGCGATACAATAGCATTCATGGGTGTCGTCACGGTGACCGACATAATACTAGTTTTTGTGACTCCCACCTAGTTGTGACGCCTTTGGTTGTTGTAGCTGTGCGTGGGAGAGGTCATGGCAATGACCTCATGGCGTTGTCGCGGTTTCGACACTTCTCTCTTATCTCGGACAAATGTGGCAACTATTAGGTTTTGTTTAGCATGAACAATGAATTTGCATTTGGGTCGAATCACAAGCTTTTGGGCCAAGTTTGAGGATTTGGGTTGTTGATTACTTTCGGCCAAACTTTGCATTTGGGCTAATTTTAGCTTGAATACACTATTCAAAGTGAAAATGACACCCTTGACTATTTTTAAAGTTTGCATTTCACAAATCATAGTTTAAATTTCATATTTCAAAATTTAAGTGATAGTTAGTTATTTAATATGTATTAAATATATTACTAATAACTTACCCTATCCAACTCACCCCACACCACCCCCATTCATTAAAAAATGTGACCCATCTCTGGTTCCTCACTCTCCTTTCTATCTCTTCCGTCGAAAAATCTACCACCGTCGACCATTCCATTCACTCTATCTTTTTTTCTCTGTTTGGTCGCCAAAAACCAACCACCACAGCCACGAGCAGGAACACCAAGCAATGTCGCATAGCTCACATCGGTAATATTTGGGTTTTGGGGGTTTAGGCTTCGTTTCTCCTTCTCTAATATGTTTAGTCGAAATTTTGGAGTGATTTTTGTTGGTGGTGGTAGTACAAGTGGTGATGGTGGTGCAGCCGTGCAAGCGATGATGTTTTTCCCTTCTCCGATCTGATCTTATCTGCTTAGTCAGATTTTTAAGGTGATTTTTGTTGGTACTTGTTGGTTGTTTTCAAATACTGGTCGTGATACTGGCGGTGGTGGTGAGGTGGCAGTGGTGGTAAGATGGAGCAATGTTAGATTAGTGCAAATAGTGAAATGGGGTTGGAGTAGGATGAAGAACGTTTATGACCAATTATTTGGGTGATTGTGACTAATAAAATAGTTATATAACTAATAAATAATATGTGACCTAAAAAATGTAAGATTGTGGACAAATCTGTAATCGTGACTCACAACTTGTTATGTTGCGATCAATTAATTTAATAATTTGTAATCGTGAAATAACTTGCGATTCTATAAAAAATTTTATTTATGATCAAATACGTGACCTATTAATTTGATAATTTGTTATTGCTAAATAAGTTGTGACCTATAAAATTTGAGAATTGTGATTATGATGTTTTGTAATTGTGGCTTGTACCTAATTTTTGAAATTTTAAAACAAATTTCTTAATTTTGAAATTGTATATTTCAAACATGTATGGTTCCCATATTCAAATGTTGGGGGATTGGTGCAAACAGAGAGTTGAAGAATGAGGTTGGACTATGGTCCAATTAGCTCTTTAATTAGTTTGCATTTATTGTCCAGATTTTGGACCATAAATTTTCTTTTAGTAGTTATTATTATTATTATTATTTATTCCTCATCAACTTATGGATGAATGTCGTTTATATAACATGTCATGTAGATCTCATATACATCACTCTTGGTAATATACCGTCATGTATGGTAGGTAATATTTTTGTTCTAAAATAGTTAATTTAAAAAGATAAATATCAGTATTAATAATTAAATCATTTCAATTAAAATTGGTTAGAAATTGTTAATTAGAAAATTTCAAACAGGACAAAAACATTAATAAGTGAGTGCTTGTTAATGAATGTCCAATAAATTTTGAATTCCTTAAAATCTGATTCCCTATAAAGTATTAAGAAATATTAATATGTAAATAGAATAATTTTAACCACAAAAGCAGGTTTACATAATAAGCTGGGTCGAGCCATCGCCTGGCGAGCCGGTGCGTTCATTCGTGCTGACTCCATTGAAATTTACAAGTTGAAAACTAAGCATCGCTCCCCACTCGTCGTGAAGGACAAGGAAGGACATGAGAGGTTTGCCAAAAAAAAATATTTAAGAAAATAGTGGGCTTTTTTTTTTTTTATGATTTTAAAATAGTGGTAATTACACAAAACCATACTTTAAGTATTAAACTTTCTAAAATCAAATTGGAAGTTTAATATTTCCAAAATTAGATTTTTTATTTTAATTAATATTTTTACTACCCTAATTCATTCCCAAAAAAAAATATATATATATAT